CCGGTCGGCTTGCTCGTTGGGTTATGGAGTTGCAACAGCATGATTTCGAGATCCGGTACCGTAAGGGTACGTTGAATCGTGTTGCAGATGCTCTCTCCCGTCAGCCCGTGGGTGGTGAAGATGGCGATACCCCGGCTGACGTAGCTGTGATGGGAGGAGACCCACGAGAGGCCGCATTAGAGACCGAGGGTATGCAGCCAGAAGATGGCACATGGTACCAGCGCACTAAAGAGTGTGTGTTGTCCAATCCCAGACGTGTCCCGAGTTATTGTATTAGGGATGGGGAGTTATACAGGCGTCTTGGGAAAGATAAGAATGATGAAGGCGGAGTGGTATGGAGGACTTGTGTACCACCATCTAAGGTTAAGGATGTGTTGGTAGAGAACCATGACTCTCCTATGGCGGGCCACCTGGGAGTTAAGAAAACAATTGCCCGGGTTGGGGAAAACTATTTCTGGCCGGGTTGGCGTCGGGCCGTGAAAGAATACGTTAGGTCCTGTGTCGCGTGCCAGGAATTCAAGGTGTTGCAGCAGAAACCGGCAGGACAAATGTACTTTCGAAACCCTCAAGGGCCTTGGCATTCGGTGTCGGTCGACTTGATGGGTCCTTTCCCCAGATCCAAAGGTGGGCATCGTTTTCTTGCAGTTTTCCAGGACCTGTTTAGCAAGTGGGTTGAAATAAGACCCCTACGGTCAGCTACGGCCAAGGCTGTAGCTAGTGCATTCAAGGACGGGCTATTGCTGCGTTTTGGCGCCCCTGTGATTCTTATGAGTGACAATGGAACCCAGTTCGTCTCTAAGGTGTTCCGAGACCTGACGAAAGAGTGGGGAATCGAGTTCCGTCAGACTGCCCCTTACAGCCCGCAGTCCAATCCGGTTGAACGGCCAAACCGGGTTATCAAAACTATGATAGCCCAGTTTGTTCAGGATAATCATCGTACTTGGGATGCACTCATTGCCGAGTTCCAGTACGCGATGAACACCGCCGTTCACGACTCCACTGGGTTTTCACCTGCCAAACTGTGTTTTGGGAGGGATCTCAGGCTACCTAGGGCAATCGGGTCGTCTCTGACCACAGGACCGGAGCCTGGAGATGACCGTGAGAGATCCGTGGACGAGCTATATAGTGACCGGGAGCGGGCGTTTAAGAGGTTGTACGATAGTTGTCGACAGAACTTGAGGAGGGCTTTCCAACGTCAGTCTAAATATTATAATCTTAGGCGACGTGAGGTGCAATACCATCGAGGTGATCAAGTCATGAGAAGACTACATGTCTTGTCCTCAGCTGCTGAAGCTATAGTGGGCAAACTGGCCCCTAAGTTTCAGGGTCCTTGTACCGTAGTCAAGCGAGTGGCCCCTAATATGTATGAGGTAAAGGACGAGGGTAGGAGAGAGACCCACGTCGTCCATGTTAAGGACCTTAAGACCTACCATGAAAGAACCGAATCCTAGTTATTCTTGGTTATGCATGGTGGTGGGTAGTCAAATAGCGATTTGTGCATGGCTTGTGCTTGCTATTCTTTTTATGTTTTTTGCAGGTGATCGCAGTTTCTTTGGGCTTGGGTAGTCGTTGCTTGGTTGCTTGCTTGTTTGCCTGCTTGCTTACCTTTGGCTTAGTATTAAGATGTCTCTGCGTTCGGAGATTTTTGTTTTGCCAGAAGACATTGAGACCCTTCGTCCCAATTGCCTAGTAAATGGGATTGCGATTAATGGGTACCTTCGCCTTATTGAGCGCAGGTGTTTCTATTACCGGAACTTACCTACAGTTTGGGCGTGTGACAGCGAATTTAGGTCCGACTGGGTAAGGGGAGGATATGCGGTGACGAAGTGGCGGTTGCGAAATATAAACCCGTTTAGTAGAGAGCTTCTGTTATTCCCAGTACACCTGCCGAACGTTGGACAGCATGGACATTGGTCGCTGATCGGTGTGTGGCCCCGGAAGGCGGAAATCGCTACTTTCGATTCTGTCGGGCATCGGCGAGCAGCAGCGAGACAACAAATGGAGGGCGTGCTAGATTTTCTTCGGCTGTACGCCAGGTCCGAGAACCTCCCGTTTGACGCGGATGGTTGGACCCTAGTCGACTCCCCGGCAAGCTTGCCTCGCCAAGAAGATGCAGAGAGCTGCGGAGTGTTTGTGTGCGTATACGCTGACAGGTTAGCGAGGAACGCCCCTATCACCGAACCTATTGACGTCAATGCAGCACGCTTGGCCATCGCTGAGGTCCTGGAGAGAGGGAAATTCGACAGGGAGGATTTCCAAAATCGCCGGAACGTCAACCCCGTCCCTCCTCAGTCGTCAGCCGTTACAATCGACCTCACGCTGCCGGTTGACGGACCCCCATCGGAGATCTTCGAGGTGATGGAGGAGGTGACTGGGGAAGTCGAGCAACATGCTGACAGGGGGGCTGTGGAGGAAGCGAGGCTGTTAGGTGACGAGACCTCAGCCATGCTGTTAGACGATGTGGCGGAGGATGAAGCTTCGATGCGGGAACCCGTCGAGAGCCAAGAGCCCTGTCTAGACCTGGAGGATGGCGAGTTGGTGGTGGAGCTTGACGCGGAACCAGCCGCCAGACCAGCGGTCCAGTCGAGATTGGGTGGTTGTCAGCGAGGTGAGGATCGTCGTCAACACCGTCACCCAGGATCCCGTCGAGAACATAAGCGAAGGCTCGAGCGGCATCGCGACGAGACTCGAAGGTACCAGGGAAGCCAGCAGCGACAGGTGGTGGAGAGGAGCCGTGGTCTAGGTGGACACAGGGTTCGGAGACCTGACCACGGGGTGGAGGCGAATCGGCGCAATCCGGAAGGAGTGTCTACGAGGAGACGCCGGGAAGGTGGACCTCAGCAGCAGGAACCTGGTCGACGCCGGAATGAGGAGACCCGTCGTCGTGCTCACGTCGACTTGAGGTATAAGCTCCTGGCCCGACGGTGCGAGAGACTGCATTCTCCTCAACGGTCTGGGCGGAGCGGTGACATGGCTCGCAGGCTCGAGCGACGGTTCACTGAGAGGGCGGAGAGAAGGCCGCCGGCATGCTCTCAGTCAGACGTGCGGGTGGATACGGAGGCCAGCGGTCAGCGCGGATTCGAAGTGCCACAACACCTGCGAGACCGTTTGGTGGAGTTGGAGACCCAAGGGTGGTCGAAGACGGATCTGAGGAACAAGCGCTGGGTGGTGACCCGGGCCGATGGGTCCAAGTTCAAGATCCGTGCCGCCAAGCTCCGGACCCTAGAGACACTTCATTGAGTGTGATGCGGGTGGGGCTTTACAATATTTAATTTTAGTTTACTGCTCGCAGTTGGAGTGGGAGTGATTTATTTGTTTTTGTTAATCTAGTAGTTTGGTTTTTGGTTTACATTGAGACCCATGGTAAAGGAGGTATCATTGGGTGAGGGGCCGGAGTGTTTTGTTTTGGTCGGAGTTTGAAGATTTTTTTTTTCTTTTGGCCGTTTTCTTTTTTTTTACCCCGATGTAAGTGGGGGGTGTAACGAGTTATTTTTCCCAGGGGGGTATATTTTCGTTATTTGGGCCGCGCGTCTGTTGAGGTAAGCAAGCGGCGACGGCGAACCTGGCTAGCGCTCTTTGACCCGGCTTATCAGTTCGGATAAGCTTGGGTATCCCGGGACTACTGGACAGCGGAGAACGGACATTCGAGTCGTGGATCCCAGTGAGTGAGGATAGCGTGTGTCTAGTGAGACGTCCAGTGGTGTACGTAGAGAGGAGTGCTGTGGTGACATCGGTGTCGTGTGAGGTTGGTGCTCAAGGAGTGAGTGTCGGCATTCAAGTTGGGTAGTGAAACAGTGACCCACTTGGGGTGAGTGGACGACGTGTTATTATATTTTGGTTTAAGAGAGTTAGAGAGTTAGAGTGGTAACCGTGCTGGTCGAAGCCTGACGGTAGTTAGGATTTATTAGTCAGGAATAATATTAAAGTATATCCCTGACGGTTCTGGGCAGGTGCTAGAGCGCAAATAATATAATTTAATTGACTGTAGTAGATATTATTTTGCGTTGTACCTAGAGTTAGTTATATTACTAATAACTCTGAGGCCCGACAAACCTAGGCTGCACGATTTAGCGTGCGTAGTTGGAAGCACGAGGCCAGCAGGCTAGTAGCTAGTTTTATTAGCCTATTAACAGAAGCCCAGCTAAGTAACATAAAGTTGGTAGTAGCAGTAGCAGTAGTAGGGTTGTTATTGGTTATTCATTTGATTATTTTAATTTAACCTGAACAGCTTGCTTAGTAATCCAACACGTTAGCTTGGTAGCTTGGATAGCGGAGTACCGGCTATCAGATAATATATTTATCTAGTGTTTGGAACGTAGTTAATATTTATTTATCTGCTACTAAGTAGCTCAATATTTTAATAGTGCAATTGCCATTTAGTTTTGCTTGTTTGGCTTGGTATTTATTGAGACCAGCTACTAGTGGTGTAGTCACTCTACCTGTAGTGTACTTGTATATTATTAGGTGGTACGATTATTAAAGTGAACTGTTTGATTCTTAGCTTGGGCATTAGAGTTGTGTATTGGATTATAGTGGCCTAGTAGACCCCGCCTGGTGATAACACGCGTTGTGGTTTTTATTGGTAAGTCGTCGTGTAACTCACCGTGTTTTAGGCACTCTGGGCTTAACTATTGGATAGTTAGGACGAAGCCCGAGTTGCGTAGTCAGCAACGACCCCCTAGGAGAGTGGAGAATCGGCGTAGGCCTGGTAGTGATTATTGCACGTTTGTTGTGGTGACTTGTTTTTGACTTGTTCACGGTGCCCGTGTATGAGCCAGTCCTATACCGGTTAGACCCGGCTATTGGCCTAGTGGTTTCCCTGACCTTATCGCAGACCCTGGAACTTTACCCAGCCATTGTAGGCTGAGCTGTCCCGGCAAACGGTTGCGACGACTGCACTTTTAATATTTAATATATTTTTTCCAGGGCAGAAAGCATCGTCGCAAGACAAGTCTAGAAAGTTCAGAAATACCAAAAAGAGAACATAAACTATCAACACGAAATGACAGGTTAAATCGTAGTTATAAAAGTCAAATCAGCTGCTCATAGTATTATTATCTTTAAGTGTTGCCAACCTATTTCCAAGCGTACAAGGATTATGTGCATAATAGAACCACGCTGTTTTGTGTTGTTTTGTTGGAATCCTGATGTGCGCCAAAGTATAAACCGTACGACAAAGTATAAGTATGCAGCAATTAGCAGCTTTCTGTACTATAAACAGTACAAGGAAGCCAACTTTGTCGGGTGACTGTAGGAAAATAATATTTCCTCTTCAAATAACTATCACAGCATGTCAGAGGTTTTTGGAGATTTTTTTTACATCTGAACCAATATGAAATTATATAATGATTGGTCAAGTAGCCTATAGTTTGAATACAAACCACAGATTTTTTAACACCTTAAAATATTTTGTCCTGTTCTGAATCCCAATTTTCTGCAGTGTGATTTTCTTGTATCTAGAGGAAGAGGTTGTGTCAGACGTTGTAGTCGGGTAGTTTGATGCGTATTCTTCGTCGGGAGACAGCGACGTGACACAACACAGCGCTGGCTAGAAACACAGAACATTGCCACTCATCTCGCAGCTCCCACACAAGCCACGCACAAACAGCCAGCAGTGCCAGACTGGTCCAGCTCAGCGGCAGGCGATACCTCGACTGTTGTAGGATTAGGAATACCTGCGACAGAAATCAAATCAGATCTGTTTATTTGCCATAAAAACAAGTTAAAACGTGAAGTAGCCAATATACTATGTCCAATTTACACTTGTACAATCCGTCTTTACATAAAGTAAAAATGTTGACACAGTTTTAAAAGTTATTCTCGGTTAACAAACAAGTGAGATGTCTTAGAAAATTTTTGAATTCAAGTTAGGGAAATGTGTAAGCAATTTATTAAAATTTTGACTAGTAAATATTTGTGACTTCCAGTAAATTTCTGCAACCTGGGACAAGCAGTGGTTATATCTTTGGCTGGCTGATTCCGCAGTTATAAACTGTAAGGGAACATGTCCTGATTTTAGTACTTAATTGTCTTCAAACTGCAGTTTTGTAAGTCTAGCGTTAACTAGGCAGATTTTGGAAACTGCTGGCTTTTCATATCACTTTAAAAGTACCTACATCATTTCAACAATTTTACCCACCTGAAATATTCTCAAACAGCTTTCTAGGAGGAAAATGAATCCGTGAAAGGGGCTTGGTCCATCATATTCCTGAAAAAAAACCACAAATAAATACTTTGACTCTGCATGTAAAATGTAAAAATGTTGGCTTGTATAGCTCCAATATGATAGCAAATAGAAACCTAATTGCAACTGGAACCCCCTATTTTGACCCGCAAGGAGTTCTAAATTATTTTTAAAATCCAAAAAGCACCCCAAAGGGCAGATTTTGGGGGGTGGGGGTGGTTTTTGGGAAATTTTCAAATGTAAAGGGGGGTTGTGTTATACCTCATTTTAAAGGTCTTTGAGTCCTGAGTATTAGTGGAAAAATTTTAAATTATTTTCATCCATATTTACAGGGTGTTCAAAAACGTGCACCAAACTGTAAGACATTATGCACAACCTAATGCGGCTATGAGTGGGAAATATTTGTAGAAAACACTAAAAAACAAGACCAGCTTTTGAAAAATGAAATATTTATAAGAAATGTTGATCATATCGTGAGTATTTCCATAATCTTTTAATCGACTCTTTTAAAGTCATTGAAAATTATGACTGTCATTCGTTTTAAAATAACGCCTGTAATACTTCGCAATTGCTCGATTTTGAGCAACAGGTACAATAGTAAACCAATCTTTAGATAAGTATAAGGCCAACCTGGTACCCATTTAGGGCTATGTGTACATTTATAAGTAACCATACCTCTAATGAAGATTCCGAAAGAGCCTTCAAACTTCTATAGATCCCTAATGCTGAGAGTATGCAGGCTTGGGAGACTACAAACGTAGCAAACCAAGATAAAGGCTCTAGCCGCGGCGGTGGACCCACTGTAAAAATGTTAACGGATTAGTTTAAAATAAGGTCATACAAATTTTAAATCAATTATTTGAGTAGAATTGGTTGATATACTATAGTAATAATAGTATAGTCACTCTTGTAAATGATCAAATTTACAAGAAAAAAATGTATTTCTGTTAGATACCGGTACTTAAAAATAGTGTCTACTGTACTTATTGCAAATAACTTAGGTAATTGGCTCCAAACAATTTTTGGATAAACCAATTCCAAGTTTTGTCATAAAATGCAGATGACTTAATTGATGTACGTTACAGTAGGCTACTGTGCTTATTGGTAGGCCAAAGAGCCCATTATTTAAGGTAGGAGGAATAATATACAATACATACACACACTTAAATGCAACCCCATCAGCTTATTTCTTACGATGTCGTCAAAACATCGCTTCTTCAAGACATTTCAGCTCATTATGTCAGAAGATTACTACAGTAGACTCCCTCTTACCCGGACTCCTAGGGACCAAGGCCAGTCCTGATAACGGCTTTTCCGGTTAAACCGACGTCCCAAAAAACTCGTTAAAACAGACCGTTTGAGTGCATACTGTATAAGCCAATAATGATTATTTTTTAAGAATAGTAAAACTAGACACTTTATGATAATTACTGTAAAAACAGAACACTAGAAAACATGTTAACGCGTTGTAACTTTTAAATATTTAACAAACAAACAACATCTACTGGTGTGATCACTGGTCTTCTAAGTTTTGCAAGGATCCTGTATGGAACTTAATTTTTCATATGCATGTTTTAGTAGATTCAAATTTGTTTTCAAACATGCTTAGTTATGTAGACATAAAAATAGGAAAGATCAATTGTGTTTAGTTGTAGACAAAAAAAATATGTAGGCCTACAGTATAGAAAAACAAATTTTATCCACTATTTTATAAGTTAAAATAAGATTTATAAAAGTTAAGTCTTACCCCTTGTCTTGTTCGGTTAAGCGGATTTCAAAATTTGGATTAGAGGGATTCTACTTTCAATGCTAAAAATGAACACTTACCGGCTGGCTGTGGAATGTTGTAGCTGCGGTAGCCATTTTTTACAGGTTCAATGTCCGCAATGTTGAGCAAGTGTGGAGCCCTCAGTTTCATTTCTTCGCTAAGTTCAGCCAAGTTTACTCTCGTTGTCAGACTCTGCGGCTTGTTGTACCTCTGCCTTGTCTTGTGTATGAAGTTGTCTGTAAGTATTTTGGTTTATTTCATACCTTGTATGCGTACTTTACCTTTAAATAAATCTATATAATTAATACGCCAACACGAAATTTGACCTTTGAACTCCTCCGCCATTTCTCTACCGATTTTGACCATTCACGTCTCATTGGAAAGAGCGTGTCACGTAGATTTGCAAACTGACCTTAAATTTTTCAAAAAGTCCCTTGGGCTCTGCCCCAGTGACTTTTAAAGTTCCCATGGTATCCTTATGAAGAACATATTTGTTTACATTATGATCAGCTGGATGATTTAATTGCTGTTAATATTTAAGCTGCAATTCAAGGAAACGCGTGCTACAAACATTATTTACCCACTTTGTGATAATTGCAGAGGAAAATCCTCTAAGGCTTAATGAAACTGGTACGGCAAGGACATTAAATCTGTTTCCATAAAAGTCAAGTGTTTTTTAAGAATATGATTACATCTAAAATCCCTTTACTAAAACTTTCATTGAAGGACCTACAGACATAAACAAGTTATGTCTTTAATTATGTATTTTTCTTACCAAATTCTATAAATGAGTAGGGCCTGCGAGCCATGTTGATGCGTACAGTCTCATATTTAGTGATGAAATCTCTCATCAGCTCGCTGAGAAAACTGAAGGCCAGAACAGTCGGGTAGGATGAATCACATAGCGCAAGGTATGTTACACCTAGAGCTGATATGAAGCTGAAACAATAAGAATAAAAGAATGCTTCATATTTCTCCGTCTAATGTGTATTTAGATCCTAACCCAGGACTGCTAAGTCTCATAATCGAACAACTATTTTGTACACTACGGTATCTAAAATGCCAAAGTCGCAATTGCAATGCATTAAGTTATTCAGTCCATCCCTAAAACTCAAGATGTACAAATCCTCTTGAAATTGTTTCATAGGCCTTAGAGTATAAACGAGGAAACCTGCAACATATTTTGTCAGGTTGGTAAGTTACTTATCCAGATACTAAAATGTTTTCTAATATTGTTTGCCTTTAAAATCAGTGTATTGCTTTGCATCTGTTGTCAGATCGTTGTCTACCGGAAAGCTGTTTATTGTTTACAGTCAGTTCTCACTTATATGATACGTGATTTTTTACAAGAAACAATTTTAAGTGTTACCGTAAAGGCTTATATTTTTTAGTTTCAAATAAAACTCTGTTTTCGTCTTGACCAGTCAAAGTGTAATGTAACTAATTGCATAAGTAAACTTTAACATCCAACTCCATCGTAAACTTATTATCAATTGTTAAAATTGATAGGCCTATTGAAAATTTGGTTTTGGCGAATTTCCCATGTAGGGAATATTAGCGAAGTTTCCATATAGGGAATATGCTATTACCGTAGGTCTCATGGGAAGACCTAAACTTGGGACCCATTTAGTTTTTTTGTTTTAAATGTCCCTAGAGGCCAAAAACACCATCCGTTCAAATTCATATATATATATAAGTTATACATATGTGTCCGTTAGCGCGATAACTTGAGCAAAAATTATCCGATTTTGAAGAAATTTAGTAGGTACAAAGTGTAAACCTACGTTTATTCAAACAAGTTCGCGAACCAGCATAGTTGGACTACGGGAACGGGGGTACTATGGGAACGGAGGATTTTTCCCATTTTTTTGCCCTAAAAATACAAAATTTCATAATTTCTCCCCAAACCGTTTTGTAGAGTTTAAAAAAATAAATAATTTTGTACAGTGGAACCTCGATAAGAAGACCCTTGATAACAAGTCACTCTTGATAGCAAGTGTATTTTTCAAATCCCCTTAAATTTATTTTACCTCTAAACACATGTTATTGCAAACCTCAATAAGAAGTCAACCTTTATAGCCAGACTTATTTTACAATCCCCATGAGAGTCTTGTTAACAAGGTTCTACTGTATATTGAAGCGTTGTTATATGCCCAAAGGTTACAGAGACAATTTTTAAAAATTTTAAATTCCCATGTTATTCTTATGGAGAATAAAAAAACTGTTGTAGTTTGCTTGTTTATGGATATATTTTAACAACATTTTGAAATTTTGTTTATTTATCAACATTGCAATAAAAAAACACATCTCAATATCTTCCCTGTAGCAGCAAACCTAAGTAGGTACTCACTAAAGTTAATGTTATTTAAATAGGAAATAAATCTGACAATTTTTAATGGAATATTTTAGTAGAAATCAAGTCAGGTAGGCTAAATGGAAATTCGCCTTAGTCTGCAGATTTGCTACGGCAGGGGTATTTAGATCTGGGCTCGAAGTTCAGTATCGATCGAATCTATAGCCTACAGCCTACCTGTCTATTATAAGGAGAAATAGCCTACCTAGCAATATTAACACGTTCAGTGTGAGGGGCGGGAATTCTCGCCCCACGGTACCGGCACCACTAGCGCGGGGCTGGAAATGTCGTCCTTCTCCAATGCCAACAACCTTGCTTCAATGTGAGCTCAGCCATTGCCAGGGAATGTTATAATCGTTGCCAGCCTGTAGCTTAGAATGTAAGCTTTATTCTAGTGTAGGTTGGTACTAAAATTTCCAGTAAAATCCCTTCTGGCAATGCTTTTGTCCCGTTTTCGGGGATTTTCTCTATTCAAGCCATATTACAAAGACTCTGGTTATTGATTCAGGCAGTGCTGCTACCTTTGGGTGTTTCAGTAAACTACGTCCACTTTCGGGGTAACGCAGAACAACCACCACTGCTCTTTTGTGCTTCGTCTTACTGAGATATTTCAATGCCAACAGCGATCACTGATTCAGTTAGCGCACCGCAGTTTAGGAGCACCTGTGTAAAGGTTTTCAGCAGTAAACGTGGTAAGAAGAAAGCAGGGAGCGGCAATTACAGCTTTGACTGGTAAGCAATTTGGCTGTTTAGTGCAATGTTTAAATAAGTAGGCCTATCGCAAAATTATATGTGTGCCCATTGTAAACTTTGTAAAATAACAACAATTCAACCTCGAGCAGCTTATAAGAAACTGTACCAACTTGCCTACGTGGGTTATAGCTTAATCTTAAATAACTTACTGCACAGAATGAAGGCTTAAATATAAAGTGCATCTGTCGGGAAGTGTTGATGCCTTTTTCGCTAGTAATTTTACGTATCTTTTACTTTCTTTGATCGATTTGTTGACTTCATCATTAAAATCGGTGGTTGCAGAGAGAGCCATTCCATCTTTCGTCCTGACTATTAAAGCATAAATAATCATGTTTACTAAATATATTTGTAGATTAAAAGAAGGAAGCTACGAAACACTAAGTTAGAGATTAAATGGACGAACGGAGTTTCCTCAACATCTCGAAGTACAGTACAGTAGTAATTATTTAATCAGTTCAAATCTGTTTTGATAAATAAAAATAAAACGTAAACAAACAACTTCTAACGTAACGTGGCCTGAAACCAAAATTAATTGACAGATCACTACATACATAAATGTTTTGAGGTTAGGTGGGTTTTATCTGTCACAAGGAGCATGGAGTTAAATTCAGAGATGATAGGTTATGTTCTCTATGCATCCAAATAGTTTTCCTCGTATCATGAGCATTGATTATTAACTTTGGTATGCAAAGGCCGCCTTTAACTCCAACCGCGGCATTCGAAGTGGCAACGTCGCAAGTGGGGTTGTAAAAGCTTTTTAGTTTGGCAGCAGCTATTGGTATTTGTGTATTTACGAAAGCTTGGTTACTGGACTATGACAATATTGACTCCGCTTAAAATATACAGATATAGTTTTTTATTGTTTCGGTTTTCAATTCTGTATTTTTTTATTTTCAATATTTTTATAAATTTATGCCCATAAATGTAAATCAATAAAGTGTGAATTAATGAGCTGATGTCACCTGTCACCTGTCGTTTACTCTTTGTTCTCTCCATTAATTATTACACTTTTACCAGCTTGGGAGATTTATAATCAATGCTTCCGTCGTTGACTTTTTAATACTGAAATCCTTTAATTTTGCCAGCTGAATGAACAAAAACTTCATATACCAACTACGAAAAAACTCACCACGTGAGTTTTTTCGTAGTTGGTATATGAAGTTTTTGTTGTCTCACCTAAGAACAAGAAGTTTTCTCAGCTGTGCTCGTGCAGTTTAGTGTTTTTAGTTTGAGTTTGCTTCTGCTTGCTTGATTGTCATCGTCTATATTTGTTTGTAAAATTGTTTTGTATTGTAGTAGTTCTGAGTTATTTTCTGCTGTTCTGTCTGTCGTGACTGCTTATCAGCTGAATCAATGATTATCTAAGATGAACTAAATAAACAAGTAAAGAAGTAAGTAAATAACTAACAGCATTATTTAATTTCACATTGTTAAAACTTGTGTCTTTGAAGTGTAACTTAAGCAATGATTTACGGTACCGGTACCATCTTTTAGGCAATTCAAGGCATCCTACTTGCTTCACCTCAGTTATAACATAACTAGTCAGATTCAGACCATGGAAGTCACAGTGGCGGCCGTAGGGCTGCACTTTACTTCAGGTCCTACACTAATTCGAATGAAAATATTGATTGTTCAATTGTTTCATTCAAATAAATTAGGTTAACCTTACCTAACTAACCAAACGATATATCAAATGAAACAATCGATTAATCGGTATATCGATCAATATTTTCATTCGAATGAGTGTAAGGCCGCTATTAGACGAGGTAGCCTGGCGACGTCGCCAGCGACGGTAGCTGGCGACGCACTGGCCACCAAACCTAGTAGCCACTTGAGTAGCTAGAATTTTACCGCCGTTACTCATTTTGTTGTGAGTGCTTGTCTTGTACTTGTACTTGTTATGAGCGGTATGTTTACAGTGAATAATGAGTGATAATAAGTATCTTCTCCTTCTGTTACTTCTGAAGAAATGAAGGCAAAGAAAGAGAAAAATATTCCTTTGTTCACCTTTCGGAGGTTCTCTTTTTTTCTTCATATCTTCGCGTATCCCTTCGACTGAATCAGATGTAGACATTTTATCAACTGAAGAGAACAATTCACCCACTCACAACACAACAGAACGCAACACAACAGTGTGCAAGTACCCCCGTGATATGAACTGACCGAGTGGCGACGTGATACTGGTGACCTAGTGTAATAAGCTCCATATGCTACAATGCAGCGTCGCCAATATGGGTAGCCAGTGGCTACCGCAGTGGCGACGGGGCTCTGTAGCCAGTTGGTTGCCAAAGTGTGGCTGCGTCGCTGGATACCCTCGTGTAATAACATCCATAAGAATCAATGACCATTGACAAGCTGAGTAGCCAGTTTGGTCGCTGGCGACGTCGCCAGGCTACCTCGTCTAATAGGGGCCTAAGACCCAAAGTAAAGTGCAGCCGGCCGTAGAGATTGCGGGGCCCAAGTCAAAGTTCAATAGCGGGCACTATTAATACCTGAAATTCAGTTGTGCGGGGCCCCTGAAGTGCACGGGGCCCCAAGCACCGCCTTGTTCGCCTTTATGTAGGGCCACCTCTGGGAGGTTTACTCAATTGGGTTCAAGTAATTGGACCAGGGACGAGAATAGGGACGTTGCGATACCCAGTGGCGTAACAGATTTTTTCGGGCCCCCCTGCAAATTTATTTTTTGGGCCCCCTCCCACAGAGTTATTTTTGGCCCACAATAACCAAACCAATTTTTGGTCGATACAATGATCAAACAGATTTATCATAAATAGAGTAGTAAATAAATACCTAATGGGTTATTTTCCATAAAAAGGTGTGTTAAGTATTTCAGTCATGGTTTGATGATAAATTTACATTACTACATCATTATAACAATATCCATGGTCGAAAGGAAAAACATAGGTATGCTACTACCGTCATAGGCTGACGTCACCCAGATTGCAAACAGAAAATCACCTGATTGTAACTGCCATAAGAATATATTTGTTTTGATTTGATTGTTATTGTTTTATAATTTTTTCTTAAAAGTGAAATGGTGTTTGCAATCTGGGTGTTCAATAGAACAAAATGGTGTTCCTTAATATCTCGTAGTAGGATTCAGGTAAAATGTTTTATATATGCCTTGTAATCAAGGCTGGTTTTTAAAAAAAATATAGTAAAGAATTGTGCATTTAATCACATTTCCTATGTACAAATTTAAACAAATCTCTAGCTCATATGTATTATTTTTGATGAGTAATTTTAATGACACTAAAACCCAGTTTTCCTTCAGGTATGTTGCGAAGATTATGGCTTGTGGCGTCTCAAAGATCTTTCTTCAGGTCGGAATTGAATATTGTTTCTTCAGAGCTGCTTAAATCACACAAGAACAAATCGACAACTGTTCATCATCGACTTTTTTCATCTATTACACCTGATCGGGCAGCCTTAGGACAAATAACGACGTTGAAGAAAAGCCTTTCATTCACCTGTAACAACTGTGACACTCGCAATCATCGTATCATATCAAAACAAGCCTATGATAAAGGAATTGTCATTGTTAGATGTGACGGCTGTGACAGTTTACATTTGATAGCCGACAATCTGGACTGGTTTCAAAACCCAAATGGTCGAAATGTTGAGGAAATTCTAGCAGCTAAAGGAGAAAAGGTAATAACAGATGGTGATGTGATCGAGGTTGATCTAAACAAAGATGTTAACACCAATAGGACGAATGACAACTAAAGTGGTTTTGTGTGTGCCGACATTTTTATACTTCACCCGTTTTTATTCGACTGCTTCCAAAGCTCTAACCGTCGGATCAACTGCTTCGGTAGAGAAGACAATTTCGCAGAAGGATGTGACGCTTTTTAGTGAGCTATCTGGTGATTGGAATCCAGTTCATCATCGCAAAGACAACCCGGTAGTTCATGGTGCTTTGTTGAACGGATTTGTGTCGGGGGTGATTGGCTCTAAACTGCCTGGTCCCGGGACTTTGCTAGTCACCGAGACACTGAGGTTTCCAAACCCTTGTTATGTTGGTGACACTGTGATTGTGTCGGTAGAGTTGACTGAGATTAGACGACTCATCAGTTGTAAATTTAATGTTACATCCAAGAAGTACAACAACGTGGTAATGGAAGGGGAGGCTAAATTGTTAGTGAAAGACATATGAGAAGTGATGTAAAACATACCTGATGTTTTCAAAGATATACTCAAGATAGCATTTTATACTGTAAGTATAAGGCTGTATTTGTTTTGTTCTAACATATATTATGCATCTGCTAAAAAGAGTTGTCGGTAAAAATATACATGAAAGATTGTATTTATTTGTGTCTTTACTTTTTGATCATGAGTTAAAATTCAAATTTAAGAGGGTTGTATTTGAAATGCAACACTCTGTGAACAACTGCATACAGTCCCCATACATCCTGCTTTTTCTCTGTTTACAACAGCATACAGTCCCCATACATCCTGCTTTTTCTCTGTTTACAACAGCATACAGTCCCCATACATCCTGCTTTTTCTCTGTTTACAACAGCATACAGTCCGCATACACCCTGATTTTTCTCTGTTTACAAAAGCATACAGTCCGCATACATCCTGATTTTTCTCTGTTTAAATTTTACCCTTATTTTATCTGGCTAGGTCATGTCTTTAGTGGGACTATTTCACAATACTGATTATACCATATTGCATGTTGTCAAGTTAAAGACACTTGTTAATACGTCTGACACACCTACTTATCTTTGGTTTAAGCCTATGCAATTGCTTCTCATTTTGTACCCAATGATAAATCAAAGCATTAATTCAAGGTCAAAGGCACTGTCAGTTGACATAACGCAAGAGTTTCTTTGTAAGGATGAAAAAGTCACTAAAATATCGGGAAGAAGGTTTGGCAATCCACCCGTATTTTTCTTCTCAAAGTTTGTAAAAAGTTCTTTGTTTTTTATTGTTTAAAAAATGAACAAGTTAACCTACACAGTTTAAAACGAGTCAGTAGAAAATAGTTTGTACTTCTCTTACGTGAAAAGTCCTTACCAAAAATGTCTTGCATCAACCAAAGTTTACTAGATGATATTCCCAAATATGTCTAAATATTTTCAAAACCTCTATAAGATTGCAATTGGGCTGGTCATAAAAACAACAAGAGAGTATCAAAATTCTTTATTACAACTTTTCTTAAGTTACAAAAGTAAAATTAATTGTATGAACACCACATTTTTTCTGTATAAGTAATGCTTAATGATATACAAGAATAACAGGTTTGAAAATCATTTTGGTGAATATTACAACAATTCATTATTTTATTTTACTGCAATTAACAATACACGTCTAATCTATGTCAACGTTTTAAACCCCGTTTAAACGACCCGATCCCGACCACCCTTTCCCGTTCCTGGTCAACAGAGCATTGTGTTTACACGACCCGTTCTCTGCGTCCGACCTGAGCTCAGTGTGTTGCTTCGTTGGAGAGCGTCGTCATTTTAGATTTTAAAAAGTTGTTAGTTTCTTGCATCTTTATTGAAATACAAAGCTTGAGAAGTGTCCCACAACATTCTGTAACCGTCAAAACGTCTTTTTCCTTCTGTGGAGTAGATTCCGTCATCTCAAAACCACAAACAAAACTTAAAAGACAACTCAGACCAGATATCAAGGTTGGACTGAGAGATTTGCCTGGTGTAGAGATTCGGAATTCACATCCGTTCCTAGCAGAAGTGAGCTATCCCCACCCTTCCTCCCCAAAGCTGATGGAAATCCTTCCAAACCTCCCTACCCGATTGCCAGCCAAATCGTGACCAGGAGCACGCGTTTACTTGATCCGATTTTAGGGCCGACATTGATTGGACACGATTTAGGGTCCCTAAATCGGGTTGTGTCACAGAAAACGTACTACTATAACCCAGAATGCCAACCGCATGGTAAAAAGCATTAAGTGTTTTGAGAGAGCTTTGCCTGTCAATCCGTAGGCAGCGCCACCAGCGTCGCTATGCTATTGCATGGCAACGCTGGTGGCGCTGCCTACGGATTGACAGGCAAAGCTCTCTCAAACCGCTTAATGCTTTTTACCATGCGGTTGGCATTCTGGGTTATAGTATTACGTTTTCTGTGGTTGTGTAAACGGGGCTTTTAATTTATATTGTGGAAGATTGTTTAAATCATGCTAAGTGATGTCTAATCTATATTTAAACATGGTCGAAAAAAAATACATATAAAAAATATTTCAGCATTAGGCTACATAATACAACGATTATCCTACTTATATAAATACTGTACAACTTAAACTAATTGCTCATCACGTTTCACTTCACAACCCTGATTTCCTTCGTAACAACTAATTAATAAAGCCGTAGCCAATTAATGGCTTAAGTATCACAGATTCAAGTTTTAGGCCCGCGTGTTTCTATTGGCAGTCATAAGCTAAACAAGGGGACATACAGACATTTAATATTTTACAGCTAAAAAATATTTAGTTGACATCATCAACATACGGCACTATTAACATACGGTAGCTATGTAATCTTACATAGGTTGATTTAATCTTTTGTACACTATTATAATAATTGTTTTAAAATTAAAAACTTTGGAAGGCACTAGTTACACTTTTTTTAAACCCAATTGATAACTTAACACATATACTACTTCCCCGCTGAAGCTGAATAGTTATCTAACCAATTTTTATCATCTACAGAAGCAAATATTGAAGCTTCATTTTGAAATACTTTGTTAAATCACAGCACCATGTCCTAGATAATGTTACTCTTCCAGATTTTTAAAACCGCACAAAGACATGAAATCTGCAAACAGGTTTCTATCATTGAATCGTTTTATTAATCCTAGTCGTCAATTTGAGGGTAGATACTATTCAGTTTTTCCTTACGCAATTAGCCTAGTGATTCTATTGACGAATTGTCAAGCTGATCTTATAGTACCTACTGACAAATTCATAAACCCTCTTTCTTAGGATAGGGAACCATTGTTCCAAAGCATTGCTGTTATAGCTTGGTTGTGTATTTTGAAGGTTTTGAAACATCGTCTTCAAAAGCTAAGTTATCCTGTCCGGTTATACCAGACTGCTGAACAGAGCCGAGGGTTGATATCTGAGGCCATTCGCTATCCAAATCCAGCTCTCTGTCGACAGCCAGGTATTTCCTTCTCGAACTAGTAAGATCGTGGTTACAATACCGAAACTTTTTAAACATTAAGTAATTGACCACAAACATCTCTAGGACTGTACTAATGACAAAGTTGCCCAGTGCCAGCATCAAAACAACCATCGGAAAATCAATTTGTGGTGGGAAACGCAGTTGGAGAAATCGGATGAGCCATTGAGCGGGTGAAACAGTTATGTAGATACAGACGCAAGTCATAACGCATAGAGAAGTGAAGAAGATTTTGTTCTTATAGATAGGTTCTCTGTAGGGTGCTCCTTGGGAGAAAATAAAAGCCATAATGATGTATTGAAACTGAGCCACGGAGAATACCGCATAGTTCTCGTAAGAGATGTAATACGTGGCTCCTACGTACTTGAAAGGCTCGAACCAAGAGTACTTTTGAACTGTTAGGAACGATATCAGCTGAACGAGTGACATTACGATGATTTGCAGCAGCAGCGACATGATCGGAATCCTAGAGAGAAGACTTGTCAAAGGCACTTCTGGCACTAATGGGCCGGAGTATGCTTTATTCCGTCCAAAGAAGAACGCCAGGTGCACAACAAGGCAGATGTCTATAAAGAGAAACTCAAAGTCAGTCAGATTGCTGTCAATGCTGTAAAGAATGATTGTTGACATGAACTCCATAATACTGTAGAGAATCATGAACTTAAAGACGCCAAAGGAGGTGACCAAGGCCGCTCGACCTTCCCGGATGACCCTGGGTACGCAGGAGATGTTGGGGATGGCGGAAGTGAATGGAGAAGCGACCGATGACTCTGCCTCTGACAGTGAGATTCCTGCGTGTGCTGCCTTGAGAGCTCCACAGTCATTGGCACCATCTCCACACATTGCTGAAAACACAACATTGAATTATCAGATAACAAAGTATATATAACTAAATATAAACATTGGATTGAAATATAGATTATGAAGTTATTTTTTATTCATCTAGTTACAATTAATGTTGATCTGGTTCTGGTTGCTGATGGTCAAAGTTTGACAAAGTCTATTACTTGATAGCGGTTATTGACATTTACCTAAAAGGGTTTTCTATACACTGAGCAAGATAGGTATGACACTTTTTTCAGGACTTATGAAGACAAAATTCAGTATCTTTTATTGATACTTATTAGTTCTTAGGCCTGTACTGTGTTAAAATACTTCAATCAAGATATTGTTTTGTTAAATATAAGACATAAAGACAAATTAGCAATATAATTCAGTAATCAACATTATTGCTCAATATCTTTCTGCCAAACAGTTACAGTATTTCCAAATAAGGAAATTTTTTAACTAATAAAAATTCAAAACATTCACTGACCGACATAGTAGCCGAGCTGCTGTAATTCCTGGATCAGCTGTTGCTTCTGGTCGCTGCTCATTCGGGCAAACACAGCTCCGCGCACGGCTATTCGAGGGATCAACTCTGGAGCATGTTCCCGGATGACTGCCCAGGACTTGCCAGATATAGCAATCCTGTAGGGAGCAGTCACTTTAATCCCCATCTCGTAGTCTCGTAAATCACTGGGCTCCTCTGTAATTGCTTCTGCAGCCTTCTGAAACGTTTTTTTTTTTAATTTTAGTTTTTTTCTGCTGTATAAATTAACATTGGACACAATAGTTGAGTATCTGTATAAAATTGTACAAAAAAATTATAATAGGTACCTATATTCTAAAAAATTTTAATGTAAAAAAGGAAGAAGAAAAATCAATTTCAAAACCCAATGTATACTAAGCTATCACTCCGTAATGAATGCAGACGAGACAATTCCAATGGTATTGCTCTAAGAATTCACTTTGGGAATATATGCGCACAGAGAAACTACCAACTGATATTTATCTTTATTATTCTATAATACATCTCTATTGTTTGAATAAGCTTCTCATTCGATTTGTTTTATGTTTTTTTTTTTTTTTTTTTTAATAAGGAATGAGGAACTCTCTTCATATTATTATAGTTACTAAATAGATTTGTTTCACATTAAAGAAATAAGTTTACACCACACTACACTGTTTAACAACCTCTCAGTCTAGAATTTGCAAGTGGTTATAAAGAAAAACATTACCTCTATCAGAGGTTATGAGTAGTGATTGTTAGTCCTTTAGTCGGGGAGAATATAGAAGGATTTTGTATGGTTAAGTTAACTTAGAGTAGTATGGCATAAAATATCGTACGTCACTCGTCCAAAATGTGTTTACCAAACTCATATTGTAATCACACACTCGACTTCGTCTCATAAGGGAACGACCACACTCGTCCGGTAAACACCTATTTTCAGGACTCAACCATTAACGATGTAAGATTATGTACTATTTCACATCACTGAACATTATCATAGTGTAAAAAGTGTAGTCTTTTAAATTGGAACCCATCCAATTACTTTACGATGTTGATTGATCTTATACCTTAAGAAGGCTGCCACCACAAGAGTATAGAATTTGTGGTGGATTGCAGTTGTTTTCCTCCTCTGCAATAACTTCTACAACAGTTTCCCCTGCCTCAATAATTCCACATTCTTTCGCAACACTCACAGCTGTCAGAATATTGTCACCTGCAAAATAAATAATCGGCTTCATAATACTGGACTATAGTTTAAATACTTAAAAACATATTTTCAACAGTTTTTGTGAAATCACAAGTTTATATCAAATAGCTTAGCTTGTATAATCTTTGCAACTCTGAGCCTCTGTCAATTTAAATGAGTAATTTTGGAATAGACATTTGAAATCTGGAAAAGAGATTGAAAAATGTATGGGTGTTGCAGATTGGCATATCGTTTGGCCTCCATTAGCTTATCCATTAGTTCACCATGTTAGAACTAAATTCTAATTAAAAAATGATTTTGAATAACTTTATGAAGTGTTAACTAAATTGCATACACATATTTCTCTATATAACAGTGTTCAAATATTTTTGAAGGACCGTATCTCAGGCTTGTACTATAACAAGTGTTTTTATTTTTTTTTACTGAGAGACTTTAAGTTTAGTCATTTAGTTTTGCAAAACTAGTTTACCTATTGAGCTCAATTTTTTTTTATGAACTTAGGTATGTATATGACCAATACAAAATGTATACACTTGGGGTACATAATATGTTGTTTTTACACAATTATTTGAAAGCATATTACCTCATAAAAATCTTATCTGTAGTTTTATTGATTTATATATTTTATGTCAAATTATGATATTGAAAACTTAATTATTTGTTATGTTTTGGTTTAGCTCATACAGTTGTGAAAAAGTAACAATAGTGAAAACAAATAATGACATGAGTTTAAATGAGTAGAAAAAACAAACACTTAGGATTGGTTTTACACTACTTTGGTCCTGGCGTAATAGTATATTTTCCTTAAATGGACCACATCTAAAACCACCATATTACTACAACGATCGCTAAAAATAAAATGATCCATAACCTAACGTACCTGTGACCATAACCACTTTGATTCTCGCTCCTTTCAACATGCTGATTATTCCAGTTGTCTGAGGTTTCAGCCGATTCTCCATTATGATGAGACCTAAAAATTCTAAATCTTTTTCGATTTCATTCCTGCTCATCTTTTGTACCTTGACATAATCCGACTCTTCCAGAACTCTGTAACCGATAGCTATCACTCTGTAACCTTGTTCCGTGTACTCCTGCAACGCTGACATTAGGTTCGGCGGAACTGGAATAAAAAAATAATAATGTTAGGGGTGTGTTATTGAGGAGTATTAATAAATAGGAAAATCACCTTAAACCAGATCAGTAATTCATTAGTGGAAGAAGGATGGAAAATATAAAGGTTTTTTATAAATCTTTTTTTAACAATTTTATACACTGAATTTCCCACACACAAAAATCGGTTCTTTTATTATGGATCTTAAATTGAATAGTTTGTTGTATGTCATTTTGTTTTTAACTGATTTCTGTAGCTACAATGTTTAAAATGATAATTTCATATCATTAGTGAAAAGAAGGTATACAATTCTGGTGTAGAACAACCCCATTCTAAAACCATATCAACAAAACATACTCATAGTAATTTTTGCACATTACAACACCTTTTAACAATTAGAATAAACAATCACTGAAACCCTTGAAATTAAAAATAGTCCAAATATAATGATTTATTAAACCCGTGGTACCTATTGTTCCTAAAACATTTAAGGCCAGATAAAACTTTCATGTCTGCAGTACTTTATTGTGTGTAATGTGTATCTAGAAGAGTTTTAACTCAATCCATCGTCAACATGATTTTTGTTATTTTAGGGATAATAATCTCTAACAAACTGCACCTCCTAGGTGATACAATGGCTGTCTGTCTGCGTAATGGAAAAATCTTTTCTGCAAGCTTGGTCACTTGTAAAAAATGGGACTGCTTCAAACTTCATTTCTTTGCTACTTTTTTAGATTTTAATTATTAGTTTGCTCACCCGAGTGTGGTTTGCTCAACGATTGTATCATCTCGGGAGATCCCTTGCAATAAACCGTCAAATCCCTGGAGCCGAGCTGTCGAGTGATCACGCTCATTCTTTGTAGTTTTGATGAGAATTGGTACTGGTGGATAATACCCATCTCCAAAGGCTAAAACAATAACTAGGTACTGTAGTTAAATTTTGGTTTTGTCGCTTGTAATTGCATTATTCAAAATGTTGCTTATTTATTCCACACAAACCGTAACACAATATGTTAAGACACATCATGTATTTAATTACATATCTTTTTTATGGTTACTAATTTTAAAATAGCCTGTTCTTAACTAGAAAAAAGATTTGTTGCTCAAATCTGTGCTCAGTTTTCTTAAATCAACCTTAATGCTCATATGAGTTATATTCATTTTGAAGAGAACACAAATAGTTGTTTTTTGGAGGCAATAACTTCACAATGGAAAAACACATTAAATAACACAAAGATTTGTTAATAACTAAAGTACATATTTCGTGAAGAGTTTCAAAAGCAAAATCTAAATATTGAAGATAATTTCAGTAAAAAGATTGACATGCCCTTTGTCAAAAGGTGGGTGGATTGACGTTGACACTAATTTTTTAATCAGAGTGAATTTAATTACCTGTTCATCATCAGTTTGCTTTTTTAAAGGACGACGCACCACTGAAGGTACCATGAGGTCATATTTCGAGGTGTCTGCAATTTCCGGTTCTTCAAATATCCAACCAGTTGAATCAAACAACTGGAACAACACATTAATCAATGTAGTTAGTATTACTGGACAAATGCAACAGGATATTCATGTCTGGTGTGGAATAGGAGGATTCTAGAAAGACATTTCCCATTGAAACATACAACCAGTGAAAAATAGAGACTTGTAAGGATGGGGTGATTAGAAATAGACAATTTATCACGCCTTCAAAGAAAATGTGCCCAGCAACCTTCAGTTGCTTTATTTAAACCTAGAGTTAATTTCCAGATGCCTGTTATTTCTAAACAAGCTTGAAAGCCCACTTAAAGTATTCAGAGTGTCATTTAACCCTAATAGAAAAGGAGGGATTTAAGTGCAAGGAAAACTTTTGTCACTGAACAATTAGAGAAATATTGTTGAGTTTTTTGCGCTCTGCTAACTCAGAATTTTCTAAATCAAAGATCTGTAATTAGCACTCAGTATCATTTATACTCACTAAAATTTCCGTTAGAACCATTTGCAAAAGTACAACTCGAAATGTGTACATGGAAAATCAACTGTATTCAAAAGCAACAGTATACAGAAGTACACTTCAGTTAAGTGGTGAACCACGTTTTCTCCTTACCTTTACATCGAGTGGGTCGCCGCAGACGACGCCGTCAATGATGGTGAGCGAGTGACAGGATGCCATCCCATACAAGAGTGGCGTGAGCGGCATCTTGGCCACGTCTCTGACTGGTGGATGGAGGTGAGAGTTTGTTACGGGTACGACACCCCACATGTCCAACCCGTCCTCCGTAAGTGTACCTGTCTGGATCCACACTCGTCAATACATCGTCTGCTACTACATACAATAAGTAAAAAGTATAGTTGTTCAGCACAGAAAGAAATCGAGGAAGAAAGTAGGAGCTTGGGTGAATTAAAGAGGATGGTCCAGAATCAAGTGTGGAAGGCTTTTGTTGCAGCCCTACATCCCCCTCGGGAAGAAAAGAAATAAAGTCATAGTCAAGTAGTCAGCGCCGTCAGCAAAGATTTAAATCAAACTTTAAAACACTGAAAAATATGAACTCTAATAAAACTTCACCAATTATTTATAATTTTGTAAATGAAGTCATTTTAGTAATTTCTACACCTAACTATTTTACGTTTGAAAAATGCATTGGTACATTTTTTATAAGAGCAATTTTATCGTCCCTAGTTTTCTGATATTCTTCATCAATGTTGTCTTGATGTTTTGTACATCATATTTTTTCACGGCCAAAAAAATGCCAAAATAAATGATACAAATTTAAAAATTTGTGGGGTTAAGAACGTGTATTCACTTGCCTCTTGGGCAGGAGTTCTACAACACAAAACGTCCTTCCATTTCTTAAATTCTTTCTTGCTATACTACTGTAACGATTGATAATTCGACAACTAACAAGCCAAAAGGGTGAAATTAAATCAACCAAATGTACCAGAAACTAGAAACTACTATAATTTTTTTTACTGTGCTGATAGTTTCATTTGTAGTAATTAATAAGACCAAAAATAAACTTATGGTGTAGAAAATGGCTAATTGTTGTAGAATAGTTATTTGTGCAACTAGTGAGAAAAGTGAGCAATTGACTCACTCGAGAGAAATCCTTACTCACGAGCCGTAGGCGAGTGAGTAATAGTTTCTCGAGTGAGGCAATTGTACTTTGAACTCGAGTTGCACATTATACTTTTCCTACAGTTACGATAAAACAAATAAATTGGTGAAGAAACATAACCTATTTTTACACAGAAGTTGACTTTTAATATAGCATCTAACGTGAAGTGACAAATACAACAGTACAACAGCTGACCAGCTGATTTACAGCCAGTGCTGCCAACGTATTTCGCGCGCATACGACGTTGCCTGCATGTTACGCGCTCACTATTTCGTGCCTTTACGTTGCAAATCTGGAGTGAGATAAAGTAATTAGAGTGAGACAATGTTAACATTGTCTCACTGATGAGCGAATTAGCCACTTTGCTTTCTCAAATCAGTGAGAGAACATGTACATTGTTAGGTAACTGTAGGAAAAATAAAATGTTGTCAATAAAACCATTATTATGAGTAACACATTACTCATTTCAGCGCTCATACCTTGTCAAAGCACACACAGTCGATGGAGCCGGACACATTGATCACTCTAGAGTTGATGCAGGATATCTGGTACTTCTTGAGTCTACTGAGGGCATACAGCTTGCCGATGGTCATCGTGGCCGGCAGGGCCGGTGGGATGACTATAGTGATGATGTCCAATGCCTTCAGGATAATGTCACCTGGCTGCAGACCCCTACTGCTCTGTAATATGCATAACACTTTAATAACACACATTATCAAGATACAAATATACAGTAATCGCTCTGAGAAAGTATTTGTGATTAAATTGTTTTAGCAACTACAATTTGTATTTTGACCTCTTCCGTTTGGTTTTTCTATATAACTGGCTTACAATTCTAAAGAATACCGTATACCAGCATTTAGAGACACTTTTAGGACTTGGCTTTGTTGGTTACACCATTGAATTTAGGATACTGAACCAGACGCCTATCTATATGGACCCAGCTGTAGCCAGTAAAAGTTCAAATTGTCATTCAAATGAGCCCATCACAAAGTGTGCTGCGATATAAAATTATAATTTCATCTCTGGTTTTAGATAGTGAGTGCAATAGTTGATGTGACATTAAAGATGCTACATTAAAATGTCTCCTGCCATATTGTCTTGGTTAAAGAGTTGGCGCATCCACAGAGAAATATGGTACAGAGGAAACATTCAATGGTATATACTTAAGTGGTGTCTAGCAATAGTTGCTGGTGTCTAGGACAAAGTCCAACACTGCCTCTCTCTCCCTCATGTACTATAACGCTCTTAGTGAAGAAAGAGTGCCCTGTACGATAGGAATTTCCACACGGTGCTCGCCGCTTGCAGGCTCTTCCTTGCTCGTCACAAGTATATTTTCAGCTCAACATACTTTAGTTGAAAGAGCACAGTCATCCCATATCGCTTTAATAAGAATATTATTCACTTAAGTGTGCATTTTAAGATCAATATGAATGTAGGCAATTGAGTGAATAAGGTCTAAGATGATCTGTATGGCTTAATTGACTAAGATCGACCGGCTTCCTCATCCAGGATCATTTATTGAAAATCTAATGATCAAGGACTTCTGTGTCCAATTTTGAAGCATCAAAAAGCTATCGGCACCTCTGACAATGAAAAACCGTACTTTTCATTCCCATATTAAATCTCTGTACCATCTTTAGGAAACGTTCTACACTATTACTTACTTTTATGATTATTGTGTAGATTAGTCCAATCAGCGCTATGAAAGCCAGGATCCAAATGAACTTGTACGAGTCTTGATCAAACTTGAAGTCTGCAGGAGGAGGGTAGAGGATAGATCTGACGAGAGATCCTTTGGAGGTTAGGAAGCCTGTGCGTACCACGACTGCATGGACCTTCTCATTGCCGTAGTAGCGAGTCTGCAAGACCTTAGTGCCGCAGAAGAGAGTGTGGTTGGCATCTTCTTGTTCACAGTACAAAACATTCTCGTTGGGAAGAGCTGTTTTAGTTACTGGTACACTCTCACCTGAAACGTAATAGTGCTCTAACCATCTGATTCAAGTAAACAATTGGGTACTACAACAATTCATTCTACAACACAAACCGTCCTTCCATTTCTTAAATTCCTTCTTGCTATACCTTACCAGTTAGCATGCTTTCGTTCACGATGCAGTTGCCAACGAGTAGCACAGCATCGCAATGCATTAAGCAGCCATGCGTCGGAATCACAATGACATCACCAGGCACCAGGTGGGTAGTGGGGATGTCCTCGTAGCTGCCGTCGCCGCGTCGAACTGTCACAATATCTGTTGCATGTACAGTACGATGCAAGTTCTTCTGGTTCTGAACAGACAAAAAACGTAAGTAACTAAGTTAAAGTCAAGTATATATTCACAAGTACCTACTTTTGACTCAACAATTGGTAGCTTACCTAGACACAATAATTCTAAACAACTTTTCTACCCAAATAACTCTTACTTCTACCAAATACACCCACAACAAAAAGGATGGTTGCCACAGTATTGACAAATCCTTTACATATCAAGAGCAAAGACTCAAACAGCTTTACTTGCACCTTTTCTCACCTCTGTGAGATTTGACACCCTTTTGAACTTGAATGTCAAATTTGCTCCATACAAAAAAGACTAATGAGATTTTCAAACTCATCTGGTTGCACAAAATGCAAGGCTTGAAGCTGGGTCAAAATTGTTGGCCGGACAGGCTTCAAGTTGGTAACCTTTTGATGGAGAACAAAACGTTGACCATTCCAAACCTTTTACATAATTTCCATCCAGTGTTCACCCAATCCACATTACTGTACATGTAACATTAATTATTATTTGATTGAAAATATCCAAATTGATTTACCTGATGTGTTTGTATGACTGCAGATGACACTCCGAACAATGACATGGTCATGATGGCAAAAGTGTAGTAGATATAATTCTCAGCAAACCATACACAAATTGTGAAAACTTGGAAGATGTAAAACGGATTCAACACCTCCAACAGGATCAAAGTTAAGATTGTCTGTAGTTTTACGAGGATTTCGTTCTTTCCGTAGATAACTCTCCTAGAATGACCCAAATCAAAAGATTTAGTTATATTCTGAGTTATTTAAGTAACATTTATTCAAGTTTAAAAACCAAAGAAGAATTAACAAAAAAATAAATGTTAGATAGTTTACATCAACCAATATGAATCAATATGATGCATCAATTTTTTCATTATATCATACCGATTTTTAAACAATAAACAGCCGAAAAAAGTTTTATTTTAAATCTTTATAGTAGAGTTACACGACACAAGTAGAAATTTAAGGTACGAGCCTTGGTGAGTGCCTTGAACACTTCTACGAGTGTCGCCAACACTATTTATGCGAGTTGCATACACTACTTTACCTTAGACAGTTTTTTAATTACTAACAAACACGACTCATAACTTCTAAGAGAGGTTTTCCTTTATAACCTCTCATTGCCACTGACATTGATGCAATGAATCATTGTACCAAACACTAATTGCACCAGTGGGGCACAAGGAATATTTCTCAGGTGCTGTTTGACATCACTAACTGCTGCGTCTGAAGAAACAGACGATTTTATAATTTTTCTATTATTAAATTAAACTGTCATAACCAAACCAAACTAACCAAACGTGCTGATAATGGAAAAATTGAATGAAGGTTTACTAATCTACAAAATCATTTTGTTCATAAAATAAAATTATAAATGCCTAACATTTAATTTTATAATTTTTTAAATTATAAAATTAAACTGTCATAACCTAACCAAACCAACCAAACTTGCTGATATGAAAAAAAATTTTGACAAAAAGTTAGTGCTACCAGCGGGATTCGAACCCGGTACATTCGGATTATCATCCCGCCGAAACGTTATCCACTACACCACGGAGGACGTCAGTTCAATTACGGTACGTATCGTTGCGGTAATGGTGTTCCCTCAAAGTGACGTCAGCAGTTAGTGACGTCAAACGGTACCTGAGAAATCTTCCGTGTGCCGTTTTGCTAATTGCACCACTTAAAAATTAAATTAGTCTTAACAGCTGATTAGTTAAAGTTCAAAGCATATTAAAATTTTACTTCTATTTTCTAAATACTTGAACCTCATTGATCCGTTACTCATGTTTTTAAGTAAAACAATGGCTGTTAAGTAAGTCAACAATGCAATTAAGTGAATTTTTTCAATTCTAAGTTCTGAACTGAAACGGCTACTTTAAAAAACGGTAGTAACAGTTATTCTACATGAAGGTATAATTCACAGTTTGAGTTGAGTTATTTAACACTTAGAAGCATCGTTCCGCCCAGTGCTTTCAATTGCCTTCAAAATTTTATTCATATCATGATAATAAAACAATTTCAATTAATAATGATGATAATAATGATTATAGAGTAAAATATTCCACCCGTAAGCAGACTCAACAATACTTTTCGGAGTCTTACCACGGAGTAAAAGTAAATTATTCTAGGAGATGCTTCTGTGCCCTGCGGTTCTATACACAATATCTTTTAAGTCATTAAATAGGAATGCTAATGACTTTGTAAACCGTTTTCCTGTTACAGATAATGATAGAAGTCAAGGTGCGCCTCATTTGTGACTGAATTTTGTTGATTTGTTACAGTAGGGTATTCTACTAAACTGACATTTTGAAATACTTCATGCTAGTATATTTTTGGTACCTCATGTATTGTTCCTTGTGGTCCAATCCATGATATTCATGAAGCTGACTTTTAGTTACTCCCTGGTCTAAACCCACAAGCTTAAGAAAACTGTTCTTGTCGTCGTCCCAAATGTAACATAACTTCTTCACCCATATGGCTCGTATTTCTTCCACCTCTGTAAAAAAAGAAGTGCCAAATGAATCCAAAGGTTTTAGCTTCAATGATCAATTATAATTCGGCCGCTTAGAAAGCGACCTCCTCCAGCATTAGTTTAGCATTAGCGCACAGGTCGTTTTCTAAGCGGCCGAACTATAGTTAGTTTCAGTGCCAGTTAATTAATTTTTGAGGTTTTTTATATTTTTATCAGGGGTGCCCACAAGGGGGGGGGGGCTGTGACGCAGACTGTGTCATTGAAATTCTTGGGGGGGGCTTCAAAAATTCAAATGGGGGGGGGGGATAAAGTTAATTGCAATATTGTTCAACGTGACGAAAATCAAAAATATATTACGAAGTCGCCAGATAGAAAGTCTATTAATTATGTAATGACAATAGTTATATTATTGAATTCAATTAGTTAAAATAGGATTTTAGGATAGTTTAGGATTCGTGTTGGAAGTTATTATTCAAGATTAGCAAGATGTGAGATCTGAGTACTCCCTATCCCGCCCGTGTTAAAATGACAGTTTTTAGATACACATAACTTTTACAAATATTAACCTATCAGCTTGAAATTTTTGTACTAAGTTTAATACATTATTACCAACAATAATATGAAGCAAAAAAGTTTTTGAACAAAATTAAATTGTTAGTATGATTTTAAAAATGTTATAAAATATTTTGTAATTTTTTAACATAAAATATTTTTTTTATTTCAAAGGTTTTTGGTTGTCATGGAAACTGATTCGTATTATTGTTCCTTATCATATGAGGAACACACACACCATTTTTTATTGAATTTGGATTATAATTGAGGAAGAAAAGTGTACCAGACTAAAAACCACTTGACTTTTGGAAAACGACAAAAGTACCCCCTGTCACAGGTAGTAGTAGGACCCTTGGACATGCTAAAGTAAGAGTGTATAAAAGTCGCTGTATAGCTTAAAATATTTTTTTCTTCCATAATTTTTGGTACTATGTTCGTGTTCAGGAAAGTGTGTTCTACAAAACTAAATAATAAAAAAATTTAAACAAAATTATTATTTAACGGCGTACCCTCTGCGTCTTGATTAGTAGTAGGACCTTGGACATGCTAAATTAGGCTACAATAGTTTATAAAAGTAGTTGAAAATTTTAAAAATAATTTTTTTCTTCCTTAATTTTTGTTATTTACGTGTTCAGAAAAGTCTGTTCTACAAAACTAAATAATAAAAAAATAAAAAAAAAAATTTTATTTGGGTACTGTGTTACCTTAAAAAAGAATGTAACAAGAACAATCTTGTTATTCTTTTTCTTTGTTCTTCTGTTCTTTATTAGGTTTCTCTTCAATTCATACACAAATTCAACGAGTCGCCATATTTAGGCCTACTCATTGCCCAATCACATCAGCCTTTTACTAAAGTTACCATGGTTACTAATCCCTCAATCACAGTTTACTAAGCATTATAATCGTCATCATTCACCAGCTGTTGTATCTGAAATCTGTTGTAACATAGCACACAGCAGACAGAAGTGTAAAACGAAACAGACGATTGTTTGGCGCAAGCGTTGTTTCCATTTCCATTTTCATCAAAGGAGCTGTGATGTTTCCAAAGAGAGGGAGAGGGGATCGTTATATCAAGAGAAAGACGCTTAAAATTCGTTAAGCAGAGGTTACGAACTCTATATAGATATTCTGGCAATAACAAATTGCTTAAATTGAGGTGACTTATAAAACTCTAATTTTATTTAGAAAGATAAGTTTTCCAGTCCTGTACAAAACTGATTCACGGTAATCAAAATTCAAGTACAACTTGATACACACAGAATCTCCGGTTCCCGATCTGGATGATGGCTAAGTTATTTAATTTAATTTACAGTTACATATTAGTACCCGTGATAAATCAAACCCATTATGTAAGCCAAAGCCACACGGTTATTAATCTCACTTGGTTTTGGATTCGCTTAAAAATGTGATTGGAAATGGTTAGGGCCTACACAGTATTCGTAAACAACATTTTATGTAAACATATAAGTGACAGCTAGAAAAAGGAATCTTTATCAAAACAGCTGTTCGTCATATATGACGTGTTCTCTCAACAGATTATTAGTATTTCTTAAATGATGTAGGTATGTAGTAAACGTGGAGAAAAGAAAACTAGAAACATCACACAAAATTGGGTTTTTGATCGTCCGTTATTTTATTTCGAAATTAGTGAGGCCATATTTTAATGGCTAAGGACACTCTCGCCAATCCTGTGAATACACTTAGACTATTAGAATCATAATCGGTACTCTATGTTTCTTTAGAGTAGGCTGCGTAAAATGCCTTCTGGGCCGTGATAGACGTACATAAATTGAGATAAGACATATTAAAATTCTTCAATGTATAAAACGTAAAAATAACCCAAAATATGTATAATTCTGAGCAACGTACAGACAAAACTATAACTTTATTTATATAGATTAACTGGGTTTGAATTTTTAATATCTATAAAATTGTATAAAACTTATTTTAGTTTTACAAATAGTTCTGGGCGGGGGAATAATGTTTCTCATTTGTTGTGTACCTCATTTATGGTGGGGGGGGCTGTTGCTCAATTGGGGGGGGGGGTGCGTCATGAGTCTAGGGGGGGATGGGCACCCCTGTTTTTATTACGACTAGTTTTTTACTCTGTAACAGCAACAGTAAAAAGGATGTTATATTTAACTTTATAACAGGTTAGTAAACACATATTTGTTATTGTTAGCTGATAATATTTTTGGAATTGAAAATAGTTTTGAATCTTTTAGATTGACTATTTGAATAGTCAAAGCTTTTTAGTTTGATTAAAGCTGTGTTCACACCAATTACACAAGAGTTTAACATTTGACAACAATCGAAAGTTTACCAGAAACAGTTTTTGTGTTTGCAAAGAAATTTTGTGATTTTTTTGTAACAAATGTAAAGAAATAATTTTCTCACTTTGGGCTTTGAAATTGGATTCCATCTTTACGGGAGGTAGTATTCAAAACATTAGAAAATTAACACACACACACACAATTAATACATATTATGAGAGACACACGAGTAACTTTTCCTGGGTCAATTGCCGTAGAAGCGTCAATTATATCAATCACATTCTAGGAGTTATATTTAAAGCCAGTTCAATATCATAGAGCTTAATTAACATTGTATCATCTGTACAATCATTTCTTATAATAGTGAGTCAAGCTAGGTAAAGAACAGTTTACCTTTTATGGCAGATTTAGCAAGGTGGATCTCGAAGACCTCTATGGGATGACTCTTCTTCGCCCTTGAAAGCTGATAAGGATCTAACTGCTTCATAGGCTCAGAATGATCTTGTCCTTCCTGTAAACTAAGATAAGGTCATGACTTTACAGTTTTTGTGCTGCTTCCGTGGTTTACAAGAACAAAATTTGAGTTTTTTTGAATTTTAGTTTTCAAACTACCTTGAAATGAAGATGTTTGTCAAATCCAAATTCAAGAGTTTTACAATAATTACCGGTTGTAAATTCTCCCCAAATGTTACTGGTACCACAAAAGGTATTAATGGAAAAAGAAAGTACCAGGAGAACCAGAATAGCAGGAGGGGACTAGACTTGATGATGTTGGAGATGTTTTTAAACCATCCCCACATTTTGTGAGTAAACATTTTTTTTTTAAGAGGTTGGCGGCCTCTAACCTTACCCGTCCACATACTAACCGCCCGTACAAAGATCGTGTCACAGACAAGGGAAAAAATCATACACAGCAAAGCAAGGAGTGAGCCGGTATAGTACAAAGGTGAACTGAACTGATAAAATGTTTTCGGCAGTGACCAGGATCCGAACCCACGACATCGCTGCCGACTAAGCCACCGACTGACTATAAATAATGAGATATAATTGCTTGTTTAGCTAGAACTGCTATTATTGTTAGTTGTTTCATTTAATGTATGGTACCTTATTAAAATACCACACCATTTTCTAATATTAGACAATCAATCTCATCTTAATTAGTATACTCAATAATAAATTATTGGCAAGTTCACATACCTACCTTTGATTAACTGCAGACATCCTTTTAACATCTTTTATGAACAATGAGGTGAACCGTTTTTCATATCTGTCCTACAACAAAATGGAACAGGTCACAAAATATTGAATTGTTTTGCAAGTGGATGTATCAAAATGTAAATCATATAAATTGCATTTAATTTAACAAAATTAAACTTCAATCTCTGTTTAATCTACTACTGCTACAAAATTTTCTAAATCTCCCTAGAAATGATAAAACTGATCATTTGGATGATATAATTGAAAATGAAATGAGTAGAAAATTAAACGTAAAACTTAATAGTAACAGAAGAAAAATCTAATTAAACGTTATTTCAGTGGTATCATTTAGAGAGCTCATACTGATGTGTTCTTTTTGCTGCTATCTTTTTTAATAAATAGTACAAACATTACGAAATGTGTCTATTATTTTATTACAGTTACTCAACTTTTTATGTGCATGTTTCTATCCGGAGTAACTTTAAACAAATAAAAAAACATCTGTACACCATCTTTAGATTCATAAATGCTTTTCTTTCTTTCAACATTTTACTCGCCAATAAACACTAAAACTCACCCTGTATATTTTTAAAACATAGATTACTTATACTGTTGAATGTTAAGGACAAAAACATGTTTATTTTCCCAAAAGAATCGGTTGGTTTATCCGTGATCATTTCTTTACGTACCAAAACCAATACTTTTTCAGCCTGAGCCAGCGGACATCGTTTGTGGGAGAGGAAGAGCATCCACTCAGGCCACCAATGAAAGACGAGTCGTAACAGCCCCAGTGAGAGGAAGATGAACATCCACATCACTGTATTGTGTATACGGCTCAGGCAATATCCGTAGATCTCCTGCAATACATGGTAAATATTGTTGTGCACAAAAATCTTATAATGTGGATGGATATGTACCTAAAGTCCTAAAGAGACCCTGCACAATTAATGAATCAATCAAAATCTTTAGAGGAGGGTAAAATCAATTAAAACTTTTAAAAAAGCACCCATATTTCATTGAAATTGTGTAAAAATTATGTGGTTTCAGTACATTTTATACGAAAATTAAATGTTTGTTTATGACATGGTCAATCTTGCTGTGATTCCGTCGTTGTCTTTTCCCGACACGACCACAATACTTGTATACGTGTATATGTTTTGTAAATATATACTATAGTATTAGTGATGAGAAGATGAATTCACAAAAGGTATCTGAAGATGCTACCATGGTGTCGAAATGCATAGGGTGACGCAACACTTTTACCAACAAGAACCCAAGTTAAAACAACAAAGGTAAATCTAATATCAATTTTGTTGATTGGTTTATTTCAAGTTCAAAGCATTTAGTTAAAAACTTTGCCAAAATACAAAATTTGGACGTATTACAGTAGTTTTGTAACTTACCATTTCATCTTCTTCTCCATGATTAAGATAGTTAGATTCTTCCACCTCCCAAAGTTTTCCATTTTTCTTGTTTGTTTTTTCATCTGTAAATTTTAATTCTCATATTAACAATTGGTTGTGTCTCTGGGGTTATCTTGCAAATAAAATGGAAAGACTGGGTCTGTGTATCAGTAGGCTATTTGTTTTGACGCAAATTTTAAAATGGCAATAATTTAGTTTTAAAAATCAAGGGTGAAGAGGAAGTAAATTATTTGCATGATAGTGATTTAATCTGAACAAATGGCAGGCTTGAATGGACAGGAACAGCGGAAGTGTTCCGCTCTATTGGCTGGCTGGCATTGTAATCTGTGGCCTTGGAAGGTGTCTTATCCAACACTGCCATTGCCAGTGCCACATGGATATCAGCACCTCCACTGGCCCTCCATACAGGAGGCGCTGAACTACATGAACAATGAATGAGTTTGTGATTATAAGCTATAGAATTTTATGGCTGGAATCCAAGTGCTCAGTCGGGATTAATCAATGCAGTTTTTGCAAATTAAAGGTAAAATTGCTAACACTGATTGAATTTGATAAAACTGTGGTTTTGCTCTTAGTTTATTAATAAAATGATTGTGTGAAGAGGAAAGTTTTTAATTTAAATGTGTTATTATGTATTGTAATAATAGCAATGAAAAGTAACCTTGTGAACAGAGGACCAACAAGCAGAATAAAGTAAACTTTTATGACAGGAACAGGCTATATAAGCTTTGTCTGTCAATAAAATGTAAACTAAAATGTCTCAATAAAATCTTTATACTAAAAAACTTTTGCAAATCTTTATGACAGCTAGCCTGACCACACTACTGGACCGAATTACACGAGGTTGGGACCAAATGAAAGATATATTCCTGTAGATGTTCAGAATCCCTTTATAAAATAAAATAGGCCCAAAAATAAGCACGAAAAATGAATTTAAAAACAAATTAACATGGGCCTTATGGGTTGCCATGTTTTTAACGAAATAACAACAAAATATAAACAGAAAATCTAAACAAATTGAAGAAATTCCAATCACATGTTTTATTAACAGCGTGGGGTGAAACTAGAGAAGTTTGCACAATACATACTTTGGGTCGAGCTTTCGACCACGCTGCGAGCTCTCGTGTAAACTAAAACAGCAGTTTTATTTTACAGCTGCTCTGCAAAAAACACTGTTACAAAACACCGCTGCCACAGCAAACCTGCAGACTAAGCCAATTTCCATTCACCTGATTGGGTTTCAATAAAATATATCATTGAAAAAAATTCAGATTTATTCCTTGTTTAAATAACATTAGGTATAATGAGTACTTAGGTTTGCTGCTACAGCACAGGGAACCTTTGTATATAGTGTGTTTTTTACCAGGTTTTAACAGTATGTGGCTTTAATTAGGCTTCAACGGTTTTCTATCTGAGTGCATTTTGTAAAATATACTTTTTTTTCAAAACCAAATTACAAAAAAAACCCTGAAACGATAATGCCAAAGTGTCTTTGGGGCTTTAGGTAGTTTGTAATTTATATTCTTTTGATTAAGCTTAATGGACACATTTTGAAAGCTGGGACCTAATTTTATCAGAGTGTGGATTATAAGAACAAATATTTTTTATTTACGTGAAAATGTATGTTGAAATTCTTTTGTTTATTATATTTTGAGGCAATCAATAAAATACTTCATTACGCATATGTCAAACATTCTATGAAATATGACAATTTTAGTATCATTTGTCCAAAGTAGGTCCTAGTTCCATTTTTATCTTAAATGCTTAACCAACAAATTTACATGATAGTAAAAAGTTTAGCTAACTGCTTGTATGACTGTGGTCTTTACAGTAATTCAATATTTTTGATGAGTCATTTTGTATCACAGTATCGCAGTCATTATTAAACATGATTCGGACTTGAGTCAACTAAATTATCATTTGCTAGTTCTTTGTTCATTATAACAATTATCGAGTTGTTTTGATTATAATTACATGTTCCTCATGACTTTTATTTTCTTAGTTACGTAGTACAGCAATTAAAACAAAAAACAAAAAAAAATCAGTATAAAAATTTCAGGTAGGCCTATAACTATTTGCTACAAGTAGTTAAGTATTGTGCAAAATAAACAGTATTTTTGCCCAGTCCTGCAGTCTTTCTTCAAAATATAATTCCTCTGAAAACCTCTTAAAATCAAGGACAAAAAATATTAAAATACATATAACCCGCAGACTAAGCGAATTTCAAAATGTCTTTGAATTAGATTCATACCAAAATATTTCCATAAACAAGACATTTTTCCCATTTAAATATAACCCTAGATTTAACGAGTACTTTGGTTTGCTGTTATGGAAATGGTAAAAATAAAGTATTTTTTGAACAAATGCTAATAGTATAGGGTGGGATGAATAAATTTGTCAAATTTGATCAACACACATCCATAAACAAGCAAACTGCAAAAGTTACTTAATTTCCATAAAAATAACATTGGAAATTTTTAATTCACAATTTTTGAATTTTCTCCATAACCAATAATCGTGAAAAAACACTTCAATATACTAATGAAAAGTATATCGGTACTGGGCCCAGAGGTCTATCAGAGCCACCTACAGTAATAGCTACCCTTCCCTATAAGGAAATTCGCTAAAATGACAGAGTGTCAAGAAATCATCAAACAGCTGCGATTTTTGACTGGTTGTTCGTTTGAGTTCAAATTTGCAGCATTATATTTTAATAGTAAAGACCTTTAATTTGATGTACGAGTACATATCAACCTATGCTTACTTTAAAGATTTTCTTCTGGCTCCTAGCAAGCCCTGCCGCTGAAAGTAGTATCACTGAATAAGGTGTGTAAAATAAGTTTACCTACCAATGCATTGAAATGATCACATTGCCATTCCTAAACATCAAGCAAAATACCTCATTGCTGTTCTAGAGCAGGAATGGATCATTCCCACTCCCTAATCAACGTACTTTTCACCCTTAAGACACAAATAGCTATCAATATCCAGAAACATTTTCCCAAGTTTTGTAGCTCTATCTTGATTGATTTTTACTGTCCCGTGACTGTTGTTGTGTGTATATTACAGAAGATTAGGTCTTAGAAATGTTCATGTGAAAATAACGTACACTTACTACAGGAATTAGTTACATTTAATTTCATCAATATTTTTATTGACTAAAAAAAATTGAAGAACAACTTACTCTCAGCGGCTGAGGACATCCTCCCGAAGCGAGGAGGCAGTCGCTCCTGAAAATAGTTGTAAAAATTAAAAATGATTTTTAAAACCACTTTTTTACACTACATAACCATTACTTGCATGTACAGTACATGAGCCAGAACTTTCAAGCTCTATATCAACTATCTCATCTAGAACAAACTGTTCTAACAACAGCTGTGTAACAGCTTTAACAGACCTTGAGCAATGGAACTTTAATTATTGTTCAACCATTTTGTAATTGCTGCAATCAGTGCTCAAAACACGTGTATCATTTACATACTTGTCTTTCATAAAATAGTTTGTTGTTTTTTTTAGATAATCCAAAACATCTACTAAGAATCGTGCAATTTTTTAGCCAACCTGTTTACTTCTCTGTGTGATATTTGAAGGTCATGATGCAAAATGTGTCTTATATTTTTGGCATATTTTAGTATATAGATTTAACTGTTTTACTCTGTACAGTATTATAGACTTCTTTAAAAAAACTGATAAAATTCTAAAGAATGTATAGCTTCAGGTAAAATTTTATATTTTGGCTTGGAAAATTTACCATTCATAGGCCAACAATTTAGTTAAGAATAATATTTCTATCAATATATCCAATCTTATAAAGATTTAGAAAAACAAAGGTAGATTAAGTGTCATTTTGTACAATCTCTTATAATGGGAGAGTTCTTTTTACACAACTCTATGAATGAATCTACGATGCAAAATCACTTGCCGTATGACAATTCTAACTATAGAAGGTCTTAAATCGAACATATTAGAGACAAATTGATACGGTACAAAATTAATCACAACTTTATCAACGTCATAAAATTACAACCCTCTCCTGATTGTAGATGTCAACTTCAAATTTTACTCAGGACTAGTAGGACCATAAAAGTTCCCACTTTGTATAAAATTTAGTAGTAGTGTAAACAATAATCCAAAATTTTGAATTTAAAATCTATGACAGGGCAAAACACTCAATGCAAAATTAAAAGCCTCTATTATCTGATAGGTTGTCTGCTATACAACAGTACTTGAAGGGCGAAGTGTCACGGGTCGCTCAGGACGCTCGTGTAGGTAATGGTCATTGTGTGTAATCTTCCAATTTGAGGCTTCACTAAATCATTCAAGCTAAATATATAAAATGCAGTACGGTAACAATTTTATTCACAGCATCCAACAGTCTTTTTTTATAATTACAATTGTTTTATTGCAGGTTTTGTGTTGGTAGTATTTATGACTTCCCTCTGAATTTCGCTATATAGCATTGCCATGATTATCCAGGTCTCGGTTCAATCTCGGTTTGGAGTAACTTTACTTTTTTTAAGACGCCCATAATCCAAAACCATAGGTGTGAGTGCCTGTGCGTCTATATTTAGTTATAGAATAATGTTTAAGGGAGTAAATGTCACAAAAATGTTTTATTTTGATTAAATTAATAATTTATATAAAACTGATGCTTAGTATGGAGTTTTACTGGGATGGTTGCAAATATTACAAAAAAAAACCCAAGATATTGTCCAAAAAATACTTTATACAGAAACATTTATATTTTCAAAATCATGTACCATGCGCGTGTGGCCGGACAAGGACAAAATCAGTCTGCCAAAAAATCAAAGTCTGGTTTTGTCCAAAAAATACGAGGCATGTTTTTTAAGTAAGTACCGTTTTTAAATTTCTCCGTTCCTGCACTGCAATTGGCATTTTCAACATTTGCGCTGGTTTGGGCATCTATTGGTAAGACCTAGCTGGAAATTCGATAATAATCGCCCGTGTTTACATCCGGTTACAAGCATTCAAAATGGTGCCACCAATTGAGACTGCCGCCGACTGTGAAGTGCGCGCTGTAATTCAATTTTTAAGTTCTTAAGGTGTGAAAGCTATTGAATATCATCGACAGATTAGTGAAATGTATGGCGAGAACATTATGAGTGACGGAATGGTACGCAAGTAGGTAAGGGCATTTTAAGAAGGCCCCACCAACGTTCATGATGAGCAAGGCAGTGGGTACGGGAACAGTAATGACGCCGCCCAGTGTGTTGCTCATCATGAGCGAAGGCCCCACGTTGGTGGGGCCGTATTTAAATGCCCTTATCCACTTGCGTACCATTCCGTCACTCATAATGTTCTCGCCATACATTTCACTAATCTGTCGATGATATTAAATAGCTTTCACACCTTAAGCACTTCAAAATCTAATTACAGCGTGCACTTCTCGGTCGGCAGCAGTCTCAATTGGCGGCACCATTTTGAATGCTCGAAACCGGATGTAAACACAGCCGATTATTATCGAATTTCCAGCTAGGTCTTACCAATAGATGCCCAAACCAGCGCAAATGTCGAAAATGCCAATCGCAGTACAGGAACGGAGAAATTTAAAAACGGTACCTACTTACTTAAAAAACATGCCTCGTATTTTTTGGACAAAACCAGACTTTGATTTTTTGGCAGACTGATTTTGTCCTTGTCCGGCCACACGCGCAAGTACATAATTTTGAAAATATAAATGAGAAATTTAAAAACGGTACTTACTTAAAAAACATGCCTCGTAGTTTAAAAAAAGAATCATGCCATGTGTTTAATAGCATTTTACTTCTTCCAGTTGTCAACACAGTTCTAGTTCTATAGAACTAGTCAAATTTAAAAACTTAATGTTAGACAAAAACATTAAGAACATTGGTGCATCTTACCCACAGTTATAAGATTTTTTGTATCAGAGTCATATTTCAAATCATTTTATATCTATTCAACAACATTTCATTTGAAATTCAAATGATAGCCGACAAAGATAAAAACAATTTCCTGACAACATAAAACACCTTGACAGATTTTGATAAGTGGGTCTGATAAGAGATAAGATAAATAAATGTCACAACAAGATGTATAAACATGTGTAGGGCATAATTTCTCAGTAGCAACGTAACATTCATTGAACTAAATTAACCTTCCTGGTACAACAAGAGAAAACATTTCTACAAATTAAATCCTCAACAACTCTTTAGAAACATACAATCAAGCGAATCTAATTTTTATCAACCTTGTACAGTTGTACAAGGTCGGGAGGGGGGGGGTTAGCATACTAACCTTAGACAAAACAAAGCACAACCTAATTATAGACAAAACAATTTACTGTATGTAGACAATGTACCTACAGTACAAAATAGCTTTTCTGAGAAAAATTAAAAATCCCCAAACCAAGCACACTGGCATCAAAAGAATTAAAATGACCAATTTCGGGGTATCAATATTCATTTTTAGATCAAATTAAGAAGTATTAGGGTATCCCTGACATAGATTCGCAAAGTGTTGTCATACTGAAAGAGTTTTTAATGTAGGGTGAGACAATGAGAACGCTACAATTTGTTTTACCTGTCACATGTTAATTGTTGCAAACAATGAATGATCAGCTGTGCTTAAAACATCAATTAAACTATGCCATTTTAGTAAATATTATGCCTGAGGCTATTAACACTGAGATTTTGATGTGGAAACCTATTTATAAAATAGTGGTTCTTGTGCAAAAACCCAGAGATTGTTTGGACCGTATTCCATCCTTGGTCTACATGGCGCTGTTCCAGATTTTAAAACAATGTTGAACTGGGTAAAATTATTTAGGATAATCGCTTAAACCAAAAAAAATAATCGGTGGGTGCCGCAAAACTCTTTGTACACCAGCAAATGTTAAAAGAATATGAGTCCCAGTAACTCAAAATCCGAAGAGATTTGCCAGGAAGCTTTTGTTATTGAAAGCTTTACGTTGGCTAATTTTTTTGGGAGGGGGGGGGGGTTGTTCTAATAAGCTACTTGACGTTCTAGGTTTTTCAAAGTCACCCCACAGATTTGCTTGAACGGAAGCTAAGGATAGTCCAAAAACTAAAGTGATTCCTGAAGAAGTGCTGGAGGAGTATTTGATGGAGTTTCAAGTGGCTAAAAAGGAATTTCAAGTAGGACAATGAAGTCACTTGTAGGATTTTGTTCTCAAGAAATGGAAAAATGACTTTGTTAAGTTAAAATGGCAAAAGATAAGCTGTGTTTTGGTGTGCTATTTATATCCACTAGGTGAACCCGTGCGAATTCGCACGAATAATAAATTGGGATGGCAACGTCGTTAGAAGTTACGTCGTTGTATCGACGTTGGTCTTGAGCTCAATCGTTGACTATATGCATTCTAATTTATTTTTGCTGTTCAATAGGAGTATTTTGCAGGACAGAGCTCATCACGCTGAAAACTTGCGCGTATGGATTAATATCAACCAAATGATGAGTCAAAATGTGCATGAGTTCAGTGCTGCAAGAGCCATTAGCTTTGTTTAGCATTCTTTCTTGAACAGCGGTTTCGACGTATACGTAGATATAAATTTGGGCATATGTGGGATGCTCCCTTTCTGACGGTTGAAAGGTGCCAATTGAGTGTTAAATTGTGTCGTGCACCTTATACATGAAAGGCCCTCCACTGTTATGTTCTTAAATTTTAGCTGGAGTGCTGACCATTGCGAGCACATTTAGCTAACGATCTATTGTTATCTTTGTAGTTTCTGCTCAAATGATTTACTCCATTAAGTAGGCTCTGGATATAATAGATTTCTCGGTATGGTGGTAAATTCACTTTTCCTTTTTGGCAGCAGGATGGAAATCCTTCGCCTCGTCCTCTTTGTTCTTCTTTAAAATGTAGCACCACATTTCTGAAATTTTAATGCCATCTCGCCAAGTGAATGCTGCTGAATTCTTGTATTTGTCAGTGTAATTTTGTAAGTTCACGTTGCCACTAACTGTTCTAGCTCCTCGTCTGGGCTCCTTACGTTTTGCATTGCTTGCCGTATACTCGCCGTGTCCGACCGGCAATATTTCTTTGTCGTCGGGTCCTTGGTATGTTTAAACGAAAATATAATGTAAAACTTTTCTCCCGTCGTGTCCTATAGGTAAGATTTCGTAGCCGGGATTCTAATTATTTTTCAAAACATGCAAACTGTTTACATTTCAAAACCAAACAAAACAGCTGGGATTTAATTTTTTTAACTAATGTATTGACATCTGTTTC